CGGAAAACTTGAAATCGAAATTAATTGATAAACTTAGTGATGAATGTGATAATAAATGTAATTAAATATATATTTAATATGAGATAGGAATAAATATTAACAAATATAAATTAATATAGTACTGTGTAAATTTAATTCAAAACCAGGGATGTGAACCCGGACCCTGAACCCTCCTGGACTCTCGTATTTTGGCTGAACCGGACCAGGACCCGGATCCTTTTAAAAAGTGGAGGGTCCAAGGGTTCAGGGTGTTAAAAATTTTTAACTTAAAATTTTTTTTTTTAAAATTAATGTAAAAATATAATTTTTAAAAAATAACATAATTTTTATAATTTTATTAATTTTTAAAAAAATTATAAAACTATAATTGATAAAGCAAGGGATGTTGTAAAATATTTAAGAATTCCCACAATTGTTAGAATATTAAAATCCATGAAAATGTAAATGGCAATTTTAGATTGCACAACACGTTGGTCCTCTATATGTATGATGCTAGAGCGATTATTAAGTTTGAAAGATTTCTGTAATGATTTTATCACAGGAGCATGTGAAATCATTTTGTCAGAAGTTGATTGGAATCAAGTAAAAGAGCTTACTAGTGTGCTGGTTCCTTTAAAAATAACAACATTACGAGTGCATGCAGAACAATTATGTTTATCGGATTTTTATGGCATATGGTTAAGATGTCGATTAGAGTTAAAGAGATTAACAAGTTCTTTTTCAAATGAAGTATTAGAAAATACGAAAATAAGAGAGCAACAATATTTACAAAATAGTGTTGTATATGCTTCGATATATTTAGACCCGCGATATCAGGTTTTATTAAGTAGTGAGCAAAAACAAATGGCTATAGACCATCTTGAAGATTTATGGCATACCCAAAACTCTATTATTTACAATACATTGGTGGTTACAACAATATCTACTGGTTGTAGCGATAACATTGATAATGATAACGATATTGATGATCTGGAAATTTTAATATTAGATAGATAAAAAAAAATATTAAATTATCATCTGATAGAAAGGAGCAAAAAATATCTATTGTATCTTTAATAGAAAAGTTATGAGAATAAATAGAGATGCAAACATTTTAAAATTATGGGAGGAAAATTCTTCAAATATACCTTTTCTAGAATCGTCATGGTTGTACCGGCGACACAAGTACAATAATTTATGTATTATAAAAATGACTATCTATTTTAGGTAAGCGTAGAACGTGGATTTTCATCGTTGACTAATTTACGTGGAAATCTGAAGGATGATATTTTAGAAGATATCATGATTGTGCGATTGAATAAAATATTTAAAATATAAATTATCTCATTTCGAATTTTAAATGTGTATATATTAAAGTATAATAAAAAATGAATGAAAAAAAGTCTTATTTTGAGTCATTATTTTTATGTTTCCTCTGAACCCGGACCCGAACCCTGGACCCGGGTCCCTTTTAAATTTATTACCGGACCCGAACCCGGACCCTTTTTTTGTCGAAGGGTTCACATCCCTGTTCAAAACATTTCCATATTTATTAATTTATTTGAAAATAAAATTATTTGACTTGTAAAAAGTTGTTAAAATAACATATTTATATATTCTTATCAATTTTTACAAGTAAATTTTTATTTACAAACGAATTAAAAAATATGATGTTTTAAATTAAATCTGCACAACACTAAACAAAAATATTTTTGAAAAATATATCCGGCATCTGCATTTTTTGGCTTGGGGGGGGGGGGGGTTGCCCCCCCCCCCGCTGCGTACGCCAATGTTTTTAAGTTATAATACAATATGTTTTTAAAATATAATATAACAAAAAATAATTTTAAATTTTTTTATAAAATAATAAAACCATCTTGCGGATTTAATATTATTGAAATTTAAAATTTAATTATAAATATTTTTAATATAATTATATTAAAGGATTTAAACGATTTATTATGAGATAAAGGAAAATTCAACTATTAATGTATATTTCTTTATTATTGAATATATCTAATAATTTAATTTTTTTAAGTTATTTATATCATAGGAAAATGAATCTCACTACAAATAATAGATAATATATGAAAATTTTTACCTAAGCATTTGCAGTTTAGTCAAACCCGAATAATATATTAGAATTAATTATACAAAAATAATATTTAAATTTATTTACCATTTAAAATTTTAATTTATTTATCATTTAAATTTTTATCACTATATTGTTTAAAAATTACATAAAATTTAAATATATTGTTTAAAAATTAGATAGAATTATTGTAATTATTTCTTAAAAAATAAGAAAGTCAATGTATAGAAATTTACCTTTTAGTTAGCGAGTGGTCCTTGTTGATTTACAATCTTCATATCTCTATAGCCTAATTACATGAAATATAAATACATAAAATATTAGTATACTTCAAGCTATCATTAATATAAAATTTAGGACCTTTTGTAATTTTATTGGATTTGTATTATCGCACCATATCGAATAATGTAATAATTACAAATTAAATAATTCAAATTGATTGAATGGTTTAGCAAACCCCGCTAACGCTAAATTTACTAATCATGATGGAAATAATATATAGACGAAAAATTACTCATAAAACTTTCTCAAATTATACAGAAGGGTTAAAACTTTGCTATAAAATTTAATTTATATATAAATGATTTTATATTTTAATAAAAATTAAAATTCTAGTCTATTTAATTTTGAAATGAGATTAAGTCGTTTGCCAAGTCCCGGGGTTTACCTAACCCTAGTCTCCCCTAATTTTAAATTTGGGAAATCATTATTATTATTTCATATGTATATCAAACAATATTCTTTATTTTTTTTCAATATCAAAATTCTAGTAAAAAATGTCACATGATTCAATTTTTAAACAAAGGCAGTTAATAGTAATATATATCTTCTCGAAAATATTTTGAAAAATGTCCATATCTGTCAATTATAAATCAACAGATACAACAATTATAAAATATTGAATGAAATGAGATATATATAAATATATTATATTTTAAAAAGTAAATTAAATATAACATGCTACTTTTGTCGTTACATTCTAAAAACCAGTTATCGAAACTAGTTGCAATTATTTTTGGAAAAATGTAACTATTCACTAGATGATATTTTGATTATACTTTTATAATCATAATTTTATATATATTTAAAAAAATACAATAATCTGGGTAACATTTTAACTAGCTACGCCCTTGTCTTTTTTGAAAAGTTAGGGCCCCGGATCTCAACTAGGAAGGAGGATCCCACTGAGGGTTATTACTAGAGGTCTGCATTGGGTGGGTTTTTAGGGGTTACAAAATTTACAACTTTATTTGTTATTTAAAATCATTTATATAAATATAAAAATGCCCCATCAAATTTCAACATTTTTAATACCAATCGTTTACTCGTTCCAAAAGCAAAGAGAATTCAATTAAAGGTTTTAAATTATAAATGCAATGTTTGAAATAGATAGTATCCACGTCAAAATTAAACAACAGATGGGAAGATATGGCTGTTGCAGAGGAGAGCACCTTACCTAATAACAAAATATTTAAATCTTAAAGTAGCGAGTTTTTGTATAATTTAGCAAGATTTTAGACTACTAAGTTTAGTTTAAGTTTACCATTTAAACAATTAATTTAATTTAAATTACTTTTTTTTATTTATTATTAATGGTTTCACTTTTTATTTAAATATCTCACTTAAGTAGAGGATATACTTCAAACGGATATCCTACTTTGGTGGAAACGGCAAAAAAAAGATTTATTCATTTTTCTGCATTATAATTAGAAATAATATCAATATCCATAAAATATAAATTCCTTATCCTTAATCAATTTCTCATAAATTATAAAACTTTTTTATAGGGGTGTAGCACTGAAACTGAATCATTTTTTTAATTAGATTTTAAAAAAATTGAAAGAATGAGCTTATTTAAATTTTATAGATGGCATGGATTAAATTTTTTTATATAATGGGCGGACGGGTAAAAAATTTTAGACTAATGGGCGATATCATGGGCGGGTGGATATATTTTTAAAAAGGGTTAGGCGGGCGGGTTAAATTATTTTAAAATATTGGATGGGCGGGCTTGCGGGGTTAAAACCCGCCCATTGCAAACCTTTAATGATTGCCTACGTCAGAGGATGGCTCCAAACATAGTAAAAAGTAATTATCCCAGCTCAATAAACCAGCCCCCATATATGAACATCCTATTGAGATACGTTTTGAATCAGCTCGGTAATGGATACATCGACGAAACCTCCTAATCGAATGAAAGGAAAACAACTAGAAAATAAAACTGCCTACTTCTCATAACTGAATTTTAAAATTGATAAATTGGGTAACTATCTACTTGGATGGTGAAATATTTAATTTTTATCTATTAAAATTATTCATGTAAAATAACAAAATAATTCATACTAAGAAAACATGATAAAAAATTTAATATTTCTAAAGGAACTGTTTACAATGTTTATAAATTCAAAAAGACTTTATCAAACGCCATGTAAATAATATATATTGCACCAAATAAACAACAAAGATAAAATTTTATCTTATAAATTAATTATATATTTTAATTTTAATCTATTTATATAATAATTTTATACATTCTTATTTTGTATAAGGTTATGTTATCCAATGAACATACATAATTTAACTTGATTTTAATGAATTAATAGAATAAAAATTCATATGAAAATAGTTAACATAATCTCACTTTAGCTAAACTTAGCATATGACAGATGGTAAAATCTTATTTATATAAAAATAAAAAATCTTGATAAATTGGGCAACTATTAAATTGTGCAAAATTTTGGTCCCAACCTGTAATATTTTCTTCACACCAGACCTCAAGAGGTTAGATTATTAATGAGAAATTTTTTTTAATAACATTAGAAAATAGATTTCCAAATTCTAAAATTAAAATTAAAATCCGATTGACCCAAATTCGGTCAGATTAGGCTGGTTCTGAACTGAAGTGCTATAATATATATAATAAATAAAGGAGGAACAAGATGCTAAATTGGAAGGCGAGGGAGCAATTACTCAATTATTTCAACAGATTTACGCTGACGGTTCGGACGAAGTCAAGAGAGCCATGAACAAATCATTTGTATACTTTTATATTAAAAAATATATTTATTTATATTCCTAGCCCAAAGGGGCCTTAAAATCGAATGGAAATAAGAAAGAAAGGGATGTAGAGGTAACAAAAAAATAGAAAATTTAAAAAAGGAAAATAGAAAGATAAAGAAAAGTAAGGGCTGTGCCGATCCACATATTTTTCACCGATCCTATCTGATATTGGTTTAAAACCCATCCGATACCTACCCGATATTTATATTGATTTTAACCAAATATAATTAAAAAATCCATATTTTCTATGCACGAAATATGCATTTAATTTTATTTTAATATTTTTATTTCTACAATTAAGATTATAATTTAAAAAAAAATTATATTATAAATAGATAAAAAAAACTATATATTTAATAATGTATTCATTTTGTTTTAAATAATGTATATGCCGTAATTTTTAAAGGGATCTGAACTTTCCGGGATCGTCACGGGGTTTAAAGGGATCCCTTTAAGAATTTAATTTTTTAAAGGATAAAAAACTATACGGTATTATCACGTTTGAACCATGATAAAGAAGAATCTAAATTTAAAACGCGTTTTGCTTTATTTTTTTAAAATTAATTGTTATTTATTTATTAATGTTGTTTTTTTTGGCCTTATGAAATAAGATATGTCTAATATAGGATATCAATCGATAGCTAATCAAAAGATCTATTCAACTGGTGTTCAATCTCTCCCCCTTAATGGGCGAGTCTAGGTTTGAGGGGTCAGGAATATTTTTATCAAAATAAAATATCTATATGGGTATCAAATAATAGCTAATTTTAATATCTTTTGACTGAAAGTCTTCATTCTTGGTTTTGATGGGTATGACGTGAGGGGTGGTGGAGCAGGGGGGGGGGTGTATAAAAAATAATTTTTTTTGATATGGGTATCAAATAAAAGGTAATTTAAATATTTTTTTATTGTAATAATAATAATCACTCACAGAGGGCGGGTCTAGGTTTTGGGGGGTCAGGAATATTTTTATCAACACAAAATAGCGATATGGGTATCAAATAAGTGCTAATTTAAATATCTCTAGATTGAAAGTATTCATTTTTTGTCTTGATTTGTATGACTTGGTCTGGGGGGGGGGTGGAGGGGAGCGTAAAAAATATTTTATATGAGATCAAATAAAAGGTAATTAAAATATTTTTTTATTGTAATAATAATAATCACTCATAGAGGGCGGGTCTATGCCTGGGGGGGGGGGTCAGGAATATTTCTATCAACACAAAATATCGATAGTGGTATCAAATAAATAGTTTAAATATCTCTTGATTGTAATAATTATACTCTAAGTAGGCGGGAGATCTTAGGTGATCAGGAATATTTATATAAACACAAAATATTTATATAGGAATCAAGTATTTTAAATATCTTTTGACTGAAAGTATTTATTATCTTAAAGGGTTGTACTTGATCTGGGAATGTTGGGGGGGGGGGTAAAAATAAAAATTTATATGGGTATCAAATAAATAGTAATTAAAAAATCTTTTGATTATATTAATTTTAACAGGCTAAGCGGGCATCTTAAGATGTGATGAATATTATTATTAACGCAAACATAAACATGGGTAATAAATAAAAGTAAAATACAAATTTCCTGGCCCTCCAAGACCTAGAGTCTATTCATTTAGAGTTTAATTATTATCAATAAAAAATATTTTAGTTACCTATTATTTGATGCCCATATTAAAAAAAATATTTTTAAAATACCATTTATTTGATTCCTATATGAATATTTTGTGTTTATATAAATATTCCTGACCACCTAAGACCTCCTGCCTACTTAGAGTATAATTATTACAATCATGAGATATTTAAACTAGCTTTTAATTGATACCCAGTGTTGATAAAATATTCCTGACCCCCCCCCCCCCCCCCACCCTCCAGACCAAGCCATACCCATCAAGACAAAAAATGAATACTTTTAATCTAAAGATATTTAAATTAGCTTTTATTTAATACCCATATCGCTATTTTGTGTTGATAAAAATATTCCTGACCACCCAAGACCCTGGCCCGCCCTCTATGACTGATTATTATTTTTACATTAAAAAAATATTTTAATTACTTTTTATTTGATACCCATATCAAAAAAAATTATTTTAACCCCCCCCCCCCCCCCCCCATCTACATCCTGTCTTCCAGACTAAGTCATACCCATCAAGACCAAAAATGAAAACTTTCACTCAAAAGATATTAAAATTAGCTATTATTTGATACCCATATCGATATTTTATTTTGATAAAAATATTCCTGACCCCCCAGACCTAGACTCGCTTATTAAGGGGAATTGACCTCCAGTTGAATAGATCTTTTGATAGCTATCGATTGATACCCTATATTAGACATATCTTATTTCATAAGGCCAAAAAAAACAACATTGAAAATTAATAAATAAAATAAAGAAATAAAACGAGACGAAACGCGCATAAAACGCTTTTTAAAATAAGATTCCTCTTTATCACGATTAAAATGTGATAATAACGTATTATCATTCCTTAATTTAAAACCCTAATTTTTTAGTTTTCCCTTTAAAACACGTGATGATCCCGGATACTTCTGATCCCTTTAAAAATTACGACATATATATGTTAATATAATTATAAAATTGTAATATTTAAAATTATAATATATTAGATTTTTTAAAATAAATTTGAGAGGCTCTAGATTTTCTAGCAATAAGCTTCCACGATATGGATTATCTATATTTGCTGCCGTATTGAAGACAGACTCAGATGGAACACTTCTTGCAGGAGGCGCCAAAAATTTACATGCAAGTTTTGACAAAGTTGAATACCTTTCAGCATTAATTCTCCATGTGGATCCATAGGGGATATAATATCAATGCTATTAGAGTTATCTTAATAAACACAGATATAAAATTGGCATTTTTAAAATAATGGGTTTCATACAAATCCAACATTTTGTTGGGTTTGAAAAATAATCAGATACCACCCAAGCAAATGGGTCAATTAACCCAACTAAGCAATACTATATCTAATATGAAAAATATGTTATTTTACCATTTAGATATATAGATTCTTTTAAATCTTTCTTGATTTTCTTCAATTATGGAAGGTCATCTACATTACGCAATTTTAATTATTTTATTTGTTATTAGTTTCTCTTTGATTTTCAATTTATAAGCATCCCTTAAATTAAATTAGCATTTTTTAATGTTATGTGAAACATTTTTCTCATTGATATTACCTAAGTTATCATTTAAATTTATTTAAAAAAAATATAAAACCTTACAAATCTTTATTGGGAGCTGGAAGTTAAACATTATTATTACCTTTAATAAAAGGCTCACATGCAGTCCTGAGCTTTTCAATATATGAATTGAGGATCAAGTAATGTTGCGATAAGATAATTGCCAATTATCATAAATATCAAAAAACCGAGTTCTTAAATGATTATTAATGGTTTACACACCTCTATAAATTTCCCCATTAAGCGATTAATTTGTGCCTAGTTAGACTTAGAATTTGGATATTTTTTAGACATTTTGTGAAATAGAAAATTTTTTAAAGTGGCAACTTATTTTTCTTACCCTAGCAAGCATATCAATGATTGATCTCTGTGAAAAAATTGCTGCCTATACAACCAATTGCTAAATGAACAAAACAGGAAACGTTTTGAAATTTCCCGTTTTCCATGGCCAAAACTATATTGGGTGCATTATCTCTAATGATTAGGTGTATTTTTTTTTTTTATTCCCCAATAATTAATCATTTCATCTAAAATATGAGCAATGTTTATTGATGCGACTCATTAAATATTTTAACATTTGAAACTATTAGTTCATTTCAAGTGGTTTATATAATGGCATATTAATAAGATATGAGAATCGTCACAGAATCCTCAACCAAAATTTCTTTACGAATTTTTTCGGAAAATTTTATATATATCACGACTAACTCCTTTATAGCGATTTTATAATTTGGACATAAATAATGTAAAAGTCTTTTAAAGCAGTTGTCCTCTAGGATAGAAATAGGAGAATTTTTCCAAATATTAGTTTTATTAAGAATGACAGATATTGTTCGCTGACTTCTTTTTTAAAATTTGATTTGTTTTTTCTAATATTTTTCGTTTTTTTTATTAACTCTTCGTATGCTGTTTGAATCACTTTAAATTTTTACCGATATTGGTAGTATTAAATAAATTTCTCATTATTCCTCCCCTTGAAATTATTCTGCAGATAACGCATTTTGCAAAATTATAGTCTTTTGTAAAAGATTTCCATAATTCAGATGCCATATTTAAAAAAATTACTTTAAAATAATGAAATTGGCATAATTATCAGAGACCTGCAGGTCCGGCCCTATTTTTTAAATATACCCAGGCCGGGCCTAAAAAATTTTTTTTTTAAACATATCCGGGCCGGGCCTAAAAAAATTTTTTTAAAATATATCCGGGCCGGGCCTTAATATTTTTTATAAAAATTTTTACATTATGAGTTAATGGTTATAAGATTATATTATATTATAGTTATGATTAATATAATATTGGGTGATGGTTAACACTACCTAACAACCCACAGATCGATCTAATTATTAATTTCCTGCAAATTTATTCAAAGTATTAATATATTTTTTTATAATTCATATCTAAATTTTTACAACATATTTTACCAAAACAATCAAATAAAGGAATATCTTAAATAAGCCCCAATATTCAAGTTTTATTAATATATTTTTTTATAATTCATATCTAAATTTTTAGAATATATTTTACCAAAACAATCAAATAAAGGATTATCACTTCTTAAAGTTTGTAATTGATTTTACTTAATAGAAAGCATTTTTTAATTGAAAAAATTGTTTTACACAAGTATAATTTTATTTCTCTTTTTCTCTGTCCCAAATTCAAGCAATTACGTATGTAGTCAGGGACAGATCGTAAAATGACGTAAAACTATATAAAAGATTATATTAAATTACAAGAGGCTCAGGAAGTAAATGAAATACCATCGACCAGTCAAATTACGACTGTTGTTAATCAAACTGAATCGTTTTATGACAAATGGGGCGATGGTAATTCTGGTAATATGTCAATACCCGATGATGAATATTATAATTACATAAATAATAGATAAAACATTTAAGGTGGATAATTTGTTAGAGTGGTGGGCTGCTCATCAAAGCGAATTTCCAATTTTAGCAAAATTGGCAATTCCTGCTTTAAGTGCAAGCTGTGAGCGGAATTTTTTCACTACTGGGAGAATTCTTGAAGAAAGAAGAAGTAATCTTCAACCTGAAAAGGTAGATATGCTTCTCTTTCTTCATGATAATTTGTGAATTTTTAATATCTTTCTTGAGTATAGGGTTTCGTCAATCATGCTGGTTTTTTACTTTGCAAACTGTCAAATATTTATTGCATTTATTATATTTACCTTGAGTCATGAAAATTTTTAATCCAACATTTTTCATTATTTTTCTTTACAATATTATATAATACAATTATCTTCTTTTGTTAAAAATTTATATTATAAAATAAATTATATTAATATTGTGCAATTAGATTATATTTTCAAAATACTATTTATTATACATGCATTTTTTTAAATAGCGATTTATTTTTATTTTATAAATTAAATAGTAAATTAAATACAATATATTATATTCTCAAAATATTTTCCATTTTTATAAATTAAATATTAGTTTTATTTTTTTTAAATGTAATATAAAATATAGTATATGACAAATATTATTACCATTTTTATGAATATTAGTTTTATTTTTATAAATGCAATATAAAATATAGTATGCTCAAAATATCCATTTTTATAAATAACTGTTTTATAATTTTTATAAATTCAATATAATATTCTCAAAATATTAGCTTTTTACATGCATTTTTTAAATAATAAGCGATAATACTCGCTGAAAAATATGGTAAAATACCTCATAGGTGAATTTTTGTATATACCAGGTCATTTAAAAAAATATCCGGGCCGGGCCTTAAATTTTTAAATCCGGGCCGGGCCGTAAAATTTTTTTTTTTAAAATATCCGGGCCGGGCCGTGCAAATGGTACCTCTGCAGGTCTCTGATAATTATTTAAAAAGATTTCAAATAAATAACGTTGGGTTTCTTTTCATTTTTATAAAAAATCTTTTGATATACTTTAATCTATAAATAAAAAAAAATAAAATTTAGGGGGTGTTGGGCATTTCCATTGTTTTAAAAATAAATAAAAATCTTTTGAAATATTATAATGATGTTAAAAAAAATAAGCTATATAAATTTATATAACAAAAAAAAGTAAAAATATCGGATTGGTTTTTACAGGTATAGGCCAGATCCGATTTTTTTTTGAAAACGCTAAATATCGGGTGCCGATTCGATCCGGCATTTAATATCGTCATAGCCCTAAAGAAAAGGCTTGATTTTATTATGGAATATTTTCTACAATTATATTTAGAAAGTTGACAAAACGACCCTTTTTTTTAATATCTGATCTGACAACTAATTTTGTTATTTGAAATTGAGCAAACTGATATTTTGAATATATTCGTTAATTTATCATGAATAATTGCGTATATTGGTTGTCTAAAAGTTTCAAAATAAAAGGTATATTAATAGGTTTAAATGCTATATTAATTGTTATAGATTGAATCCGGTTGCACTGTCCTCAGTACCAATTGGAAAGACGTAGCCGAACAAAAAGTGAAGGTCAAGCCACCCCAAGGAATGGAATGGAAATCTTATTCATGATGACTTTATTTTCTTCAAAATATTTGAAATTCCCTATAAAAAATGGAAATTTATCAAATATATATTTTTTTAAAGAATAATTTCGCGAAAGCATATCAAACTATATTTTTAAAAGTTTCCGTGTAGTGATCCCTCTCTAAGCATCATTATTTAGTGGCCAACTTTTGATGTATTATTAAACTTTTCTTGCAAGATAAATTGAAATTAAAAGGTACGATTTTGCTCTATTTTTATTATTTGCCAACATTATAAAATGATAAAATTATTCATAACAGATTTAAAGTTTAATTTTTTAAAAAATTTATGCCTGTTTGGACAAAATCTTGAAAAACATAGAATTGCAAAATAAATATTATATATTAGAAGCGTATTTTGGCGAGATTATTATTTTTTTAATTAAAGATAAACACCAATTTTCAAAGCAATAAATATTATTTAAGCCTATGAGATTGATTTATTACCATAATAAGGTACAAAAATATCCCGTGTCTATGAAAGAGTAATTCGTTTTTAAATCTTTAGAGTTATAAATAAATATATTGTTATGTTTATTATATATATTTTTTAATTATTACCTCATCCCATACCACCATTAACAAGAATTTTTAAAGAAATTGTTTCCATGTATTATATTTCCAAAATATTCAATTGGTGGAATTTTTTACTTTATTTTTTCATTTAATATTAGTCTTTTTTAATTATTACAATTATATCTAAATAAATATGTTGGAGAAGGTTTTTAGCACGCCATTCCATACTACGGGCGGACATGGGCGAGCAAGTTAAATTTAAAAAATTTACATGGGTGGTGGCTGCTATAACTAATAAATAATAATTTATTTTGCAGGTGTGTTGATTAAAAAAATTTTAACTGGGGGAGGGGTGAGTAATTTAAAAACTATGAACGAGCGAGCCGGTTAAAACCCCGCCCATTGCAGGCCTCTAATCACCACTTCTGATGTTAGTATTTGTATTTTTTTTAAAAAAATTCGGCGAACAATATAATCTTAGACATACATGCTAAGATCAAAATTTTGGACTGGCCCGGATTAAAAAAAAATATTTTCAAGCTCGACTCATCCCATATTTTTTGATCTTTTCATGCCTAGTCTATTTTTGATTATTTTACGGCCTGGCACTAAATTTTTGTTACTTGAAACATTATTAAAGTTTTAGATAGTTATTGAGAATATGAGCACACGATGAAATCTAAACCTTTTTTATATCATTTTCCAATTAATTAATGGATATAATTTTTAATTTTATTTTTTTAAAATTTATCCTGACCTGCTAATCTCTAATTAGAATTATTACCATAACCAGTTTCATATATAAAAAAATATTTTAATTACCATTTGATAAAAAGGAACAATTCAAAATTAACCTTTCTAATATATTATTTATTTTATAATCTGGAATCACCCCATTAAGTTTAAAAGGCCAACTTAGAAATCAAAATGTTTATTTAATTAATTTCGTCTGGAGTTGAACTAATAAGTATTTTAAAGTATATCGAATAAAAGTTTAAACCCTCCTATATCACCTATGAGGTTTTATTTCATAATATAATTTTTTTTATCAGGACTAAAAAGTAGAAAGTTTTAGGATCGGGGTACATGGATTATTTATATCAATAAATACAACATAATATATTTTATCCAATTTTTCCCTATGTGGTTCCCTCCTTATGGTCTATGTTGTAATATATATGGATAAATGATTTTAAGTAGATAAAACATGTATAATATGATATTATAGTTTTTTTTATATATTATTTATGATATGCATATTTCTGAATCTATATTTGCAATATGTTTGACTATGTACAATAAGACTTATTCTTGGTCCAATATAATGTATGATTTAGTAGGTTAATATGATATTTTATATCGGAAGTATGTTTTTAAATGTCCAATGAGAATGATTTTAAATTGAAATTTTTAAAATAAAATATGTGATTATCATTTCATAAGTCTATATTAAAAATATAATTAAACATTATTTAACGAATAAAAGGGTATGGGGGGGGGGGGGTTGAAGCCCCTAAAATGTGACCGCTAGAAAAATTGACCACGAGGCTGCAATATCGCCAATTCTCCCCTTAATCTAAGGGTTTATTGACTTATATAGATGCCTAGAAATTAAGTATTAAAAATGTAAACCAATTTTTAACTGATTATTGATGGAAAAGAATTGAGTTATAACAAAGATAAAATGGAAAGAAGTCCAAACTAGAGCTCTATTTGAAGAAAATATGTTAAAATAAATATTAAAAACATGTTTAAATAAAAATTTAGTGAAGATGTACCACAGAAAAGTGACAATTGTCATAATCGTTATTTTTAAAGTTTTTTGAATTTTTTTGACGAAAATATGTTAAAATAAGTATTAATAACATGTGTAAATATAAATTTAGTGATGTACCAATGAAAAGTGACATTTGTCATAATCGTTATTTTTAAAGTTTTTTGATGAAAATATGTTAAAATAAGTATTGATAACATGTTTAAATAAAATTTAGTGAAGATGTACCATAGAAAATTGACATTGTCTTGAATTTTTTGACGAAAATATGTTAAAATAAGTATTAATAACATGTGTAAATATAAATTTAATGAAGACAATGAAAAGTGACAATTGTCATAATCCTTATTTTTAAAATTTTTTTGACGAAAATATTTTAAATAAGTATATATAACATGTTTAAATAAAAATTTAGTGAAGATGTACTCTAGATAAGCGACAATTGTCATAATCATTATTTTTTGATTTTTGTTGACGAAAATATGTTAAAATAAATAATAACATGTTTAAATAAAAATTTAGTGAAGATGTACTATAGAAAAGTGACAATTGTCATAATCGTTATTTTTAAAATTTCTTTGATGTAAATGGGTAAAAATATAGGTTGTAAAATTAAAATTGCCTGAGTATATGCCATAGAAAAACATATGGTAATAATAGATTCTTCCCCAAAAACAGGAGCAAATTGGCATTTTATTACATTTGTTCATCGGGTCAGAAATTAATATGCAAAATTTTTATCATAATATCTAATCCTAAGTTAGAAATTATTATTTTTTTACCAATTTTCACCAGACAATCTTGTTTAAAATTTGGGTAAACTTTTTTTTCTATTTTAAAACCAATATCGATGCAAGTTAACTATTTTCGTCAAAAAAAATCAAAAAACTTTAAAAATAATGATTATGACAATTATCGCTTATCTAGAGTATATCTTCACTAAATTTTTATTTAAACATGTTATCAATACTTATTTTAAAATATCTTTGTCAATAAAATTCAAAAAACTTTAAAAATAACGATTATGACAATTGTCACTTTTCATTGGTACATCTTCACTAAATTTATATTTACACATGTTATTAATACATATTTTAACATATTTTCGTCAAAAAAATTCAAAAAACTTTAAAAATACCGATTATGACAATTGTCACTTTTCTATGGTACATCTTCACTGAATTTTTATTTAAACATGTTTTTAATATTTATTTTAACATTTTCTTCAAAAAAACTTTAAAAATAACAATTATGACAAATGTCACTTTTCATTGGTACATCTTCACTAAATTTATATTTACACATGTTATTAATACTTATTTTAACATATTTTCGTCAAAAAAATTCAAAAAACTTTAAAAATAGCGATTATGACAATTGTCACTTTTCATTGGTACATCTTCACTAAATTTATATTTACACATGTTATTAATACTTATTTTAACATATTTTCGTCAAAAAAATTCAAAAAACTTTAAAAATAACGATTATGACAATTGTCACTTTTCTATGGTACATCTTCACTAAATTTTTATTTAAACATGTTTTTAATATTTATTTTAACATATTTTCTTCAAAAAAATTCAAAAAACTTTAAAATTAACGATTATGACAAATGCCACTTTTCATTGGTACATCTTCACTAAATTTATGTTTACACATGTTATTAATACTTATTTTAACATATTTTCGTCAAAAAACTTTAAAAATAGCGATTATGACAATTGTCACTTTTCATTGGTACATCTTCACTAAATTTATATTTACACATGTTATTAATACTTATTTTAACAAATTTTCGTCAAAAAAATTCAAAAAACTTTAAAATTAACCATTATGACAATTGTCACTTTTCATTGGTACATCTTCACTAAATTTATATTTACACATGTTATTAATTCTTATTTTAACATATTTTCGTCAAAAAAATTCGAAAAACTTTAAAAATAACGATTATGACAATTGTCACTTTTCATTGGTACATCTTCACTAAATTTGTATTTACACATGTTATTAATACTTATTTTAACATATTTTCGTCAAAAAATTCAAAAAACTTTATAAATAACGATTATGACAAATATCAATTTTCTATGGTACATCTTCACTAATAAATTTTTATTTAAACATGTTTTTAATATTTATTTTAACATATTTTCGTCAAAAAACTTTAAAAATAGCGATTATGACAATTGTCACTTTTCATTGGTACATCTTCACTAAATTTATATTTACACATGTTATTAATACTTATTTTAACATATTTTCGTCAAAAAAATTCAAAAAACTTTAAAAATAACGATTATGACAATTGTCACTTTTCTATGGTACATCTTCACTAAATTTATATTTACACATGTTATTAATACTTATTTTAACAAATTTTCGTCAAAAAAATTCAAAAAACTTTAAAATTAACCATTATGACAATTGTCACTTTTCATTGGTACATCTTCACTAAATTTATATTTACACATGTTATTAATTCTTATTTTAACATATTTTCGTCAAAAAAATTCGAAAAACTTTAAAAATAACGATTATGACAATTGTCACTTTTCATTGGTACATCTTCACTAAATTTGTATTTACACATGTTATTAATACTTATTTTAACATATTTTCGTCAAAAAATTCAAAAAACTTTATAAATAACGATTATGACAAATATCAATTTTCTATGGTACATCTTCACTAATAAATTTTTATTTAAACATGTTTTTAATATTTATTTTAACATATTTTCGTCAAAAAACTTTAAAAATAGCGATTATGACAATTGTCACTTTTCATTGGTACATCTTCACTAAATTTATATTTACACATGTTATTAATACTTATTTTAACATATTTTCGTCAAAAAAATTCAAAAAACTTTAAAAATAACGATTATGACAATTGTCACTTTTCTATGGTACATCTTCACTAAATTTATATTTACACATGTTATTAATACTTATTTTAACAAATTTTCGTCAAAAAAATTCAAAAAACTTTAAAATTAACCATTATGACAATTGTCACTTTTCATTGGTACATCTTTACTAAATTTATATTTACACATGTTATTAATTCTTATTTTAACATATTTTCGTCAATAAAATTCGAAAAACTTTAAAAATAACGATTATGACAATTGTCACTTTTCATTAGTACATCTTCACTAAATTACTATCTACACATGTTATTAATACTTATTTTAACATACTTTCTTCAAAAAAATTTAAAAAACTTATAAAAGAACGATTATGACAATTGTCACATTAAAACATTATTCTTAAAAAGATCATATAAAATAACATCAAAAAAGTTTCATAAAATCCACCTCATTTAATAATAAATAGATAATTTTAAAAAAATGATAAAAGATTTCACCTAAAAGATTGTTTATTTATCTAATAAAATTTACAATATAATTCCTCAATAAAAGATGTATTTACAAAGAAGATTGTGAAAATCACTAATAAATTATATTATAAAGAATATTACATTTTTAAAATA